CCTCACCAACCCCGGCCACGATATGTGGGCCAATTACGCAGTCTATCTGTGTGCCCAGGTTCTCGACTTGCTTGCTCCACTAGCCAAGGCCAATCCAGGTGGACTATTCTTTGACGGGCCGAGAAATGACATGAGATATCGAGTACGGTGGATGAGGCTTTGGAGATATGTCGAAGACTGGCACAGCCGCCGGCCATCCGAGATGCAGCACATCATGTCGATACCCTCATCGGACGCGGAACCCTTCCCGAAGATCTTGTACAGCAACCCTGCCGCCATCTCAGGGAATCAATTATACCACACAGCGTCACTCTTGATGCTGCAGAACAGGCCAGCCTCTCTACGACTATCGCCGAGGCCTCGCTCAGCGCTCTGGCACGCCAGGCAGATTTGCGGAATTTCAATGACTAATCATCACCACGGGGCGTGGACCAACAGCGTCCAGCCCCTATGGATTGCGGGACGTTGCATGAGCCATCCCGCGGAACATCGCGCGATACTAGAGTTACTAGAAAAGATCGAGACAGAGAGCGGATGGGGCACCAAGTGGAGGGCAGATGACCTGAAGGAGTTTTGGGGTGACTTGGGAGACGGTTAGTATCCCGGTGACGAACGAGACAAAGACTTTTCTTACGTTACGTTATGTTTCTCTCTTTCTCTTTCTTCTACTTTGATGATTTAAAGATGGAATGAAGTGCTCTGACACTAAATCTCGTGTGAGCAGCTCTAGCCGCTGGGGAAGGCATTGGCGCAACGAGACCTCCACGTAACGCGTCAATATTCTGCGTCGGCTCTAGTATCGGATCAGCATCAAGTCTATGAAGAATACCTCCCGCGCGTGGCATTACCGTTACTACTGATACCTCATGACTTCAAAGAAAAACCACGCGACTCAGTCAAGGACCCGTTACAGTGGTTGACAGGCACGCGGTCTCCGAACTGCTGGAATCCGAGGCTAGCATCAAGAAACAAGCGCCGCGCCCCTCCTCCCCTCCCACCACCCCCGCGGGTTAACAATCTGACGTTGGGATCCAATTTGGTCCGAGGAAAGCTGCCCCACGGGACGAGATTGGCGGGTACAGATGTCGGGACAAGACGGTTTTTCCAAGGTCAAAGGCGTGGGTCATCATCTCCACACTTTCCCCTTCCCCCCTCCCACCCTCTTCCATCCCCAGGAAGCTGCCCGCGAGTAATACTGCTAATACTACGGAGACCAAGTACTCCGTAGCGGCTTACTGGCGGCAGGCGGAAGCCTCCCCATGGTGCAGCGTTCATGCGGGTTTGCGGAGGAGTGACCAGGGACCAGCCGGGGTGAGACAAAAAGTACGAGGATGACCTCATTTCCCCGTCTCCTGCTAGGGATGGTTCGAGGGATGAAATAAGCGCGGTTGTTTTGGCTCGGTCCCGGTCCTCACAGTTACGCTACCCATGAGATGGCTGAGATGTACTTCCCTCGACAGGGGATGCGATCGGGACGGCAACCCGAGGCGCATTCGAGATGAGGTACCTTGAGATGTGGCTGATCAGATGTGGTTTCACGCGTCCCGGCAGTTGAAAGGCCACCACGTTGATTGCTATAGCACCTATTTAGTTGGTGCTGCCACTGCGGCGTTCATCATCCCGCGGCAAGTAGACCTGTCCAGCCACCAAGCCACAGGGATCTTGCTTAGACGAGGAAGAGGAATACTCGGTTCTGCTTGGACAGATTCGTATTGGCGACAAGATCGGAGAAAAGTCCGTCAAGGGTTTGGAGCCATGGAGTGTGTGGCAGGTCGAGCCGCAGGTCTTGTCCAGCGGCTCAGCGGCAACTTGCTTGCTTTCTTCCCGAAAAAAGCGCTACGAGTGGCCTTTCCTGGAATTAGATAATAATTATGGGAGGGCGTCGACGCCGGCCTGAAAAGACACGCGAAGGGAGTCTTATACCGCCATATTTGGTCGGCCGTTGTTGGCTTTACGCCTCGGAGAGAGCCGGAGCACCGAAGAGGCACAGGCAGAGGATGAACGGGTGAAATCCCACCGGTCACAGTGAAAAAGGAAAAAAAAAAGAAAGAAAGAAAAAGCGCTTTCAACTTCCTTATCTTCCTGCAGAAGGCAGCTCCACGCATCTTTACGCCATGGCCCAAGCTCGGCGATTTTCACCCTTGTCCCTGTCCGTTTAGTCTCTTAAGACTCTAACCCCTCCAGCAATAGCCCCCCGGATTCGCAGACGGAACCTTGGCTTTTTCTCCCAGAGTCCCAAGTAATTGCGTAAAGCAAACAAGCCTATCCGGAGGTTGGGCGAGAAGGACGGTTCCGCCTGCATATAGGAAATGCATACAACGTTGTTCGTAGCCATATACTTCCTAGTCTCTAATACCGTTAGAATTGGGAGGCCAAGAGGGGGAAAATTCTTTCGCGCCCGCATCCCGGAAACTCGCGAGCTTGGAGCAAATAGGACAACGGTTCTCTGTTCAAAGTCTACCCCGTCGCGAGTCATTTGGACAGCCATTCTCACCCAACTATGCGCGTCCAACTGCCCGCAGAAACCGTAACCAGGCCAGGGACTGTATCCCAAGTACAACCCTCCTGGTCCTCTTCACCCCGTCAGCATGTTGTCTTTGCTTTGGCTTAATCAACCTCCGCGCTGGGGTCCCCGCATTGCGGTACTCTTTGTGGGGGGAGAGAGGGACTCTCCTCTCCCATCTCCAAGGTGGGAAAAGATGCAGCCGACTTGACACACTTGAGTCTCTACAAGGTTTTGCAGCAATCAAATGACGTTGCTTCAAACAACGGGAAGAAGAGCAGACTGGCCAAGAAGAGATTGGAGCTAGCGGCTGCAGTGTACCCTTTTTCTCCTTCAACACCAAAGACTTTTTCCCTTTGCTTTGCGTGGCATGCTTGGATCGGTACATATAGAACCACATTCCCCATCCATCGTGGAAACAAGAGAGGTCCGTTCTTTGTCCACCTCCCTGGCCTCGAGTCATCTCGTCTCTTTTTTTCCCTTCTCAATCTCATCTCGCGATCCAGTCCCAATCGCGTGAGGTTATTTCCATCCTTTCAGCCGCATTTCCCTCATCGTCTCTCCAATCATACACCCCGTTCACCATGACCATCCTCGTCGGAAGGCCTCTCAACTGGGCCATCACGGCCACGGCCGGCTCCGGCTTCCTCCTCTTCGGCTATGACCAGGGCGTCATGTCCGGCCTGCTCACCGGCTACGCCTTCACCCGGACGTTCCCCGAAATCGACACCACCAACGGCGGCGGCGGCAGCTCCTCGCTGCAGGGCACCGTCGTGGCCATTTACGAGATTGGATGTTTCTTTGGTGCCATCTTCTGCCTCCTTGTCGGTGAAAGACTCGGACGCCGCAAGTGCATCATGCTGGGATGCGTCGTGCTGAGTATCGGTGCCGCGCTGCAGGCTTCTGCTTTTGGGATCCCGCAGATGATTGTGGGACGCATCGTTGCTGGACTTGGTAATGGCATGAATACTAGTACTATTCGTGAGTCACTTTTTCATGACTTCCTCATCACGGTTACAGGTGACGCTAATTCCCGGCAGCTGTGTGGCACTCGGAACTCATGAAGGCGGATAATCGCGGCAAGGGTCTTGCTATTGAACTAGCCATCAACATCTTTGGCGTCATGTCCGCATACTGGGTGGACTACGGCATGAGCTACGTCTCCAACGACGCTCAGTTCCGCTTCCCTCTCGCCCTGCAGATTTTGTTCGCCCTGGTTACCTTCCTCGGAATCCTGGTGTTGCCTGAGTCGCCCAGATGGCTCATTGCCCACGACCGCCACGATGAGGCCAAGCACATCCTCTGGGCGGTGGAGAAGGACGCCACGTCCATTACCGAGAACGAGGCCAAGCTGGAGCGAAACCTGGCCGAGATTCAAGCTGCCATCAGAGAGGAGCGAGAGGCTGCCAATACTGGTAGCTTCAAGATGATGTTCAAGAACGGCGACCAAAAGTTCCTCTACCGGACCTTGTTGGGTATCGGTGGCCAGTTCATGCAACAACTGAGTGGTATCAACTTGATCACCTATGTAAGCTTTCTCCTGTATTTACCCTCAAGTTTGGGCAGATGATATACCCAGTTTCACCTGAGCCGTGATGCTAACTTGTCCCAGTACGCCCCGGTCATCTTCCAGGAGTCTGTCGGCATGTCACACAACCTCTCCCTCCTGCTCGCAGGTTTCAACGGTGTCGCCTACTTCTTCTCTTCCCTCATCCCTATCTGGATCATCGACCGCCTCGGCCGCAGAAAGCTCATGCTGTTCGCCGCCGCCGGCCAATGCGCATGCATGGCAATCCTCGCAGGCACCGTCTCCAACGGCAGCGTCCCCGCCGGAATCGTCGCCATCGTCATGCTCTTCCTCTTCAACTTCTTCTTCGCCGTCGGCCTGCTCGCCATCCCGTGGCTGTTGCCTGCCGAATATGCGCCCTTGGCCATCCGTACCCGTGCTGCCGCCCTCGCGACCGCTTCGAACTGGATCTTTACCTTCCTCGTCGTCGAGATCACGCCCGTCAGTATCAAGAGCATTGGGTGGAGAACCTATGTCTACTTCTGCATCTTCAACGCCTTCTTCATCCCTCTCATCTACTTCTTCTACCCCGAGACGCAGAACCTCAGCTTGGAGCAGATCGACAGACTTTTCACGGGCGGCAAGGTGCAATTGTACTGGAAGTCGAGCATGGGCACGCCTGGCGAAGCGTCACACGCTCTCAATGAGAAAGATTCCGAGTCCGGCTCTGGAGATGTTCTCCGTGTGGAGAACAAGGAGGAGTTCACTCACTAGGTTAAGACCGCCGTAGGGAAGGGGGGAAAGTGTAATAAGTGGTTGGGCCCATACCCGCCGGGCTGAAAAGGGGTTCGCGATTTGTTTTAGGAGGAGATTCATGATATCCCGCGGTCTGCGCACCGCCTAGCAGTAAAGGAGATGATGTTTCCGTGTGCAGAGAGCAAAAGTGAAATAATACAATTCCCTCAGATTGACCAAGCTACGCAGCTGTCCTTAAAGCTTACTATCCTTGTACACCGGCTTTCTCTTCTCGACGAAACTCTTGACGCCTTCAGTCATGTTTTCTCCCGCCTCCATCTTGCGATAAATCGTCTGGTCAATGAAACCCGTCGCCTCTATCGGACCCATCGGCTCCCACCCAGTCTTTAGGCCCTCTCTCGAGACGATGATTGAGTCCGGCGAGTTTCTCGCAATGGCCTCCGCGGCACCCAGCGCAGTCTCCATCAAGTCGTCGGGCTGCACAACCTTGTTCACAAGTCCCCAGGATACCATTTCCTCGGCAGTGTAGTCCGTTCTCCCAATCAGGGCCATCTCCGTGGCACGCTGGCGACCCACGGACTTGATCAGACGAGGGAGAGCGCCAGCGATGGCGATGACACCGATGGTCACCTCGGGAAGTCCAAACTTAGCCTTCGTGGACGCGTACACCAAGTCCGCATTGATAATCATCTCCATCCCGCCACCGAGACACAGACCATTGACAGCAGCAATAACAGGCTTCTTCCCACCGCGATTCGACAGTCCGCCAAAGCCGGCGGTGGATGGCCACTTTTCACCTGGCTTGGCGTCCGGGTGGTCGGCTGTCACCACCGGAGCTTGTGGGGCCGGGTCTGCGCTGACGGAAGACGGGTTGTTGGATTTGCCCGTGGTGTTACGGACGTTCCACTCTTTCAGGTCCGCGCCAGCGCAGAAGGCGCGCCCGGTGCCCGTTAGGACGGCACAGCGGAGGGTTGGCTCCGTGTCATACCACTCGTAAAGCCGGGCGAGGGAGTAGTGAAGTTCCGAGTAGATTGAGTTCAGGTGGCGGGGCCGGTTGAGGGTGATTAACATGATATGCTTGCGGGGGAAGGAGACGGCGGCGTCCGGGCCGACATCGGGAGGAGGGCTGGCGAAGTTGGGCGTGTGTGACATTGCAGAGGTGGAAATTGTGTGATGTTACCCGTACAAGGGACTCCGTAAAGCTCGTGGATGAAGGTGGTTGAGGCGGAGGCGGAGTCGATGCTTAAGGGGGGAGGAGAACGTTTCACCGGGGTTCAAGGTTGAGAAGAGAGGTTTTGAAGTTGTTGAGTTGTAGTCGATGTGTGTCACGCACGATTGGTGTGATTAGGTGCCAACTTGTATGAATTGAGTCTTTGAGGGTTTTGTTGAATCTGATGAGATGTATAAAAAGAGTCCATGGAGAATGCGAGAGGCTAGCGAGGTTGGGGGATATCCGGGGTAAACATGATGTGTTACATCCATTTGCCTCGGCTCGCTTGAGTAATCGGGATTAGTTCCAGTGCGGGGTACACCGAGCTCGGTGTAGATCGGTGGAGCTTCGGTGGAAATGCTAATAAGTTGGGGTTTTGGTTATGGAGACGTGGGGAACAACTTATCCACCCCCGTTCCACGCTCAAGTCGAGTCTGGTCGAACAAACAGGCGCACGGCACTAGTTTGGCGGGTAGAAATCTTGGCTTTCAGGCTCACTTGATTGTTTTGGACCAGTGAGGTTTCGTATAGATCACTTATTACCTTAGTAGATGATCAGCGTCCCATAATACCCTTGGTCGATAAAAATATCAGACTCCCTCACTTGTAGCCTATTATGTTCATTAATATCGCGAAATGCTTCTTTTCTAATTGAGAATGAATAGCATCTGAACATATGGTATGTAACACCGATCATTTGCTTATACGCAGGCTCTGTTGCCATGAGACAGTGGTGTATTCTACTACCGGAAGACAATCGTGATTGGGGTGGCTTCCTGCATCTACAGACAGATCTAAACGGCAAGGCTCATCCTTCATATGAACCTCAGATACTGTTTGAACTACATATACTCTTGTGCATGTACTGAACACAAATTCATAGGGAGCTTGACACATCATTCAAACTATAGAACTGCTAGAGATTGGCTTAATGACTTGACTCCCAACATGGATGGGTAATTGACATATATTATTACCCTCGCCGGCTGTCGGTTCTACTGACTATAACACATCAATGCGTCATCTCAGGAACCTGTTTAGTCGCTCATGTTCCCCCGGGTCAAGTACCAGGGAGTGAAGCTGAGGCAGTTGTGGCTCAATTATCGCGGACGCCGATGACCGGCGATCTGAATCGGCCTGTTTCATCTCGGCGATGTCTGAATGGCACATTGTGACTAGCGCAGTGGCGAGCTACAAGGCCCGAACTGATTGTACATGCAAGCTCTGAGGAACAACACCCAGAGGGCGACGGTTTCATCGCAACTTGAGACTTCAGGTCATAAGATCAGCCAGTACAGATCTCTTGGGCCTGTATGTCAATCAACCTATTGGCGAAGACGGACTTCAGATCGGATGGAACCTGATGGAACGAACTTTGGGTCCTCAGACGGCACTTCGCGAACTTGGATATTAGTGGAGTTGTCCTGTGTCTAGAAATCATTCGCACCACGCAATTCTCCACGTTGACTGCTGGACGGGCGTCCTCGTACGGAGAGCATCACCCGTTCTCAGAATAATTGATGAATCAAGTCATCTTGCGTGGCCTGGCCCTGCCCAAACATGCATAAAGCAAGACTGTGGCAGGATTGGCGCGTATTTCTCTGGGCAGCATGCATGGCGGAGTGCTCGGAATGCCCGGCGGCCTGGGTGGGAGGCAACATATGAGCAAGTAATATCAACGACAGGTTGGTAATATGTGTAGGGCGGAGAGAGGATTTAGACTCATCGTCCGAAGATCCCGAATCCGACTCCATGGAACCATGACCCCGTACCTCCTAAGACGGTGAACATCATGTAACGAAACTTGAACTTCTTGGCCAAAACTCCCTGAATTGACTCGAGCACGTCGTCTCCTCGACCCCTGCCAAGCCACACCCCTGTTTAACAAGCGCCGAACCGTAAAGTCTCCGACTAAAAACTGCCCCAGACTCCTCCAACAGTTGCGTGCCCGATTAAAGTTTCTTTGGGGCCCTCTTTGGCCGAACTCCTTTTTCTTTTTGCCCAGCACACCATCTCTCGGACTTGGGTAAGTGTCAGCATTGTCGCAATGCGGCTCTAAATTTTGACTTTTACACCTAAAACATCAGACTTCGCTACAGAATCATGCCAAAACTTCCGAGTCAGAGAAGGGGAAACTTCGTCGCAAGTCTGCGGACAGATGCAGTCTGAAGTCTTGAACTCTATCTTCGGATGGCATGGGAACGATGGCGATGGTCTCTGGCAGCTCATTCTGATAGCATATATCATCATGAGAAACGCTTTTGATCCCGTGCAAATAGGAAAAGTAATCATCACTCTCTCTTCAATATCTTGGGTCCAACCTTCTTTTTCGCTTTCTTCTTTTGCAACTTACTTTCTTTTCGCGCAGTGCCGGCCATTGCTTTTCTCTGCATCCATTCGTTTGTATACGCCAGGAAACTTAACTCTCACGTTCTCTAGAGTGTCTCGAGATCTAAACATAAATCAAAATGAAGCCCTCTTTCCTTACCCTCGTTGGTCTCTTGGCCGCCTCTGTGGCTGCCAACCCCGTTCCCGCCATTGGTGGTGCTGTTCTAGCGCCCAGAGGCAATGGAGCCAACAATAACAACAACGGTGCCAACGCTGCCAAGGGCAAGCAGAATGGCAAAAAGAATGGAAACAACGGTGCTGCCGGAGGTGCGGCAAAGAACGGCACTGCTAATGCCGGCGGTGCTACCGCTGGCGGAGCCGCTGCGGGCGGCGCCGCTGCCGGTGGCGCTGGTGCAAAGGCCGGGAACACTTCTGCTCTTGTCTTACCTGATGGGCGTATCAAGGCAGACGCGACACCCGAGAACTTCAATGTCCTCGAGAGTGTGTTCAAGAGTGCTGTAGTCAAGGGCGATGGTAAGTTGTCTCTCGATGCTACTTAATCGTGCTCGGATCAAAGCTAAGAATGGGTTAGGTCTTGTTTTCAGCGACATCATCACTTTCCCCGAAGGCCAGGCCTCACTTGTACGTATCAACTCCACTTGCCTAAAGATTCTTGATTGTTGCTTACAACTACTAGTTCGACAAAGCAACCAACACCAAGGCTTTTGCTATCAACATTGATGACAAGTCTGTCTTCGTCCCCAAGGGTGGTGAAGCTCAGGCGAACATTCGTCGTGCCGATCTGCTCCCTAGCATCAGATCTCAGCTCAATGATGTGGCCGTCACTGGCGTCCGAACGATGCACTTCTCTATTCAGCGCGACGCTACCAAGCCCCTCAATGTTACGCACGACTATCAGGTTTTCAACCTTGAGTCCAAGGATTTCTCCTTCCACCAGATTGATGTTCGCACTGGAGCCGACAACGGCAACGAGATCGCGGTCTTTGGTAACTCCCAGACAACTCCGGCTGCCAAGATCTTCTCGACACCGTTCGGCGAGGGCCAGTTCGAGAACTTTGCCATCAAAATGGACTTCAATGCCAAGTATGTGCTTCTTCACAGTATCCTCTCTAGTGAATGTTCATTTGACTAATCGTGTTCCATAGCACCGTCCAAGTGTTCCACAGCACCGCCAATGATCCTTTGAAGCAGGTCACTGAGCCTGTCGCTAATGGCAAGTGGTACCTTACCCAATCATGGAGAGACTGCCAGGCTAACAGATTGCAGATCTCGCCGGTCTTGGCGAATACCACTTCTCTCTGCAGAAGAACCCCGTTGGAACTGCGACCCAGCCCACTGGCATCAAGGAGGCAGTCATCTTTGGCGGCATCTTCATGGAGGACTCCACCTCCGGAACGGTTACCCTTCAGTAGTTGTTCTAGTTGTTCAACTCAACTTTTGCAGAAGGCAATATGTTATGGCCAGCATCAGGCGTCAAGAGTCAAAAATCAATTTAGAGCTTGCCGCTTCGCCGCACTAGAATTGCCAACATGAATGATGATTTGTGCTTAGAACCAGAGGAGATACTGTGTAGCATTTCAAGCTCCCCCATGGCTTTTATCATCTATCTTCGCAGTTATTAACGTCGAAAGTCTTAATGGTCGTCTGCGTAACGGCGTAGACCTTAAACATGCAGGTGAGAAAATCAGAAGACCTTTTCCCTGCGCATGAAAATACTGCACACCAAGCAAATTGCTCCAGCAGCAATGATTGGCACATAAGCCAATTGAATTGCTCGAGTGATGCCATGGATTGCCTCAGCTCTCACCTCGGGTGAGGCCGAGTCGATCAAGCCGCTACCCACGCCTGCGAGGGCGTCGGAGATCACGTCGGCAGAGACATCAGGGAATACTTGCGCCAGTGCACGTTGGCCATAGTTGACAAAAAGCGCTCCTGACATGCCCGTGCCGAGGACGATGCCGATCATTTGACCAACAGTCATGAACCCAACACTGTAAGGGATCTCATTCGGTTGAACCTTCATCTGGGCAACGGCGAATCCAGCTTGGCAGAAACAGCCGACGCCTGTGCCTAGGATGATGGTGTATCCGTAAATCTTAGCATTTGAGGTGTGTTCATCGACGATGTCTGATTGTAAAGGTCAATAGACGTGCGTTGGAAGAATAGGGCCATGGCTTACAGAGAAGAACGCCGCCGATAAGTTCGAGAGCTGAACCGGCGATGTACCATGGGTAGTAGTATCCAGTACGTCCCATAAATTGCCCATTGAGTAGATTGAAGGCTACTAGAAATAGGATGAAAGGTAAGAGATGGACGGAGGTCTCAACTGCCGAGATTCCGCGGGTAAACTGATAATACAGCGGCAGGTAAAAGATGCCAATGAAGCTTCCGAAAGTCGCAAGCACTGGTAGTCTGGTATTAGTAATTGCGGGGATTGGGCAAACAGGATGGAGCGAAACGTACTCATTGTGAAGAAAAGGCAAATCATGGTTCGGCTCTTCCAGAAATGCATGGGAAACAGACGATTCTCTCGCGATGTGCCAATGAAGTAGACTTGCTGCGAGACGAAGAGAATAATCAAAACACCCGCTGCCACAAACAAACCAATGCTTTCGCCCTCGTTCCAATCCCAAAGAACCCCGCCAAAGTTCATGGCCATGATAACGCAGAGCATAGCACCAATGGACAGAACGGTACCAACGTAATCGATTTGCGCCAAGCGTTGAGTGAGAGGCACGCCAGCTTGCGGTTTGAAGTCTGGAAGTAGGATGATGTAGATTGGTCCCACGACAGCACCGACCAGGAGGTTCAGATAGAAAGCCCAACGCCAAGTGGCTTTGCTCTCGCTGATGGCACCTCCAACCACGGGACCGAGAACAGTACCAATGCCCCAGATGAATCCGGTAAGACTCAGATATTTGGGGCGTTCGACATTAGTGGTAGTCACTGACAACAGTGTGAGGAGTCCCATGTACATTCCGCAACCACCCGCACCCGCGATTGCGCGACCGACAATGAAGGAGTTGATGTCGGGAGCGGCGCCGCAGAGCGCGGAGGCGGCCATGAACACAGTCGTAGACCCAAGATATAACTTCTTAGCCGAAAAGGTTCCGTATGCTTTCGACCAGGGAAGAGTCGTGGCCGCTGAAGCCAATGCGAACGAAACACCAAGCCATGGAACGAGATCGACGCGGTGGTATGTCTGGACGACTTTTGCTTGGACATTGGCGACAACAGTGTTGTCTAAGGCGTAGAGGAATAAAGCGGAGAGGAGGGCGCAAATTATGAGGAACCACTGAAGAACAAACACCTTAGCTCAGTTTTCACAATGCCTTCGGGGGACGGGAAGGGGCTGAGAGGGGCTGGCAGGATGATACAACATACCTTGACACCGTGAATAGTTCGTGGCGGATCAGCATCTTGAGCCCCGTTGAGTATCTGAGTGTCAACAGCTTTTTCCTTGTCTGACGGCGCTGACGATGGCGAAGGTGGTGTCAAGACGCCTTCGTGACTCGGTACGGCCTCCTTCTTTTCCAAATCAGCCATGTTGGATTGTGAATCCAGATAGAAGCCTCTAGAGACTTCGAAGTAGTTTCTTTGTGATAAAGTCAAGAGAAGTAAGTAGAAGAGGGAGAACTGTGAGAGAAATTTTCTGGCAATTTGATTGAGATCAGCTTGTGACGTTTAGGCCTCTTCATGGCAGCTTCGTATATGTAACACGCGCGGAATTGACTACATCTACGATCTGTCTATCGACAGGATCGAAGGAAAACTTTGCAAGTAGACATAAACTCCACGGCGATTAGAAATCAGCTTGCCGAATTAGGAAGTGCCATTATTGCGAATCGAGAATACTACCTATGGCGAATCTCTCTTGCAACGGGTAGTGGGCCTGCCCCCCCGGTCCGGGCCGTCGTAAGTAGGACCCGCGATGCGGCTTTGCCGCAGAAGACCCCTAGGATTTGCTGCAGTGCTAAACTTTAATACTGCTGCACTGTGTAATAACATGTGGCTGTTGACAGGGCTAGAGACCAGATTTGTCGATGAGGTATAAGTCAAGGATGCTTTGCATCATCGCGCCCTGGAAACTTTTACGTGTTGTGGGAGACCCCCACGGAGTGAGGGTTGAAAAGCTTGTCAAAAGCAACGATGAGCATGCAACACATGTGACTTAGACTTCAAGATCATGTCATTGCCCTTTCCACATAGCCATAATACAAGGACAGATCCGTCGTTGCCAGACTCCAAGTTGCAAACAAGTCTCTCTGTTTTGGACCCCAAACTGATTTACACCTTTTGTTTTGTCAAGATTTCGGACTCGAGCCAATCATCATGATCATCACGCAGTCTCAATCTATGGCTGACTCGCCGACGCCTGTCCGAATCCATTATTCCCAGGCAGAAGGTGCAGCTCAGGCTGTCGACCCTGGCAAAGTTCTCGTGTCTTTCCTCGTCTCTCCGATCAACCCACAAGATTTGCTAGTCATTGCAGGTCGATATCCCGTGAAACCATCTTACACCCACGATGGCGAGCCCGTTTTGGGCTACGATGGCGTCGCGCGAGTTGAGGTCATAGGAGTCGAATCCTCGTCCTCGATGACCCCGACCTCAGCGCTACGGCCCGGCGATCTCGTCATCCCGCGTCGCCATGGTCTAGGAACTTGGCGAAGTCAGGCTATTCTCAACTCTGCCGATGTGATCCGCCTTTCACCTACGGAGGATCTCATCGGTGCATCGCTCCTTCGCATGGCATTCTTGCCTGCCTACCTCCTTGTTGAGGATGTGAGAGCGCTGAAGCCCGGCGACTGGATTGTCCAAAACATAGGATCTGGGACCATCGCGCGACTGATTTCTCAGTTTGCTCGCATCAAAGGTGTCTATACTGTCAGCATTGTACGCGACCGCAGTCTGGGCGCTTTAGAGGCCCTGAAGTCCGACCTGCTGAAAGACGGGGTTGATGCCGTACTTACCGAGTCTGATCTCCAAGCACGAGGTGCCGATGCGCATCCTGCTCTTGCCGACGCGGCGGGCCGCAATCGTGTGGCCCTAGCCATCGATGGCGTCTTCGGGGAGCCTGGAGAGCGACTCGCGTCTTTGCTCTCACATGGAGGGACTTATGTGAACTATGGATCCCTTGGCGGGGCGGATGCGGTCTTGCGTCTTTCGCAGCGCCTCTTATTCTGGTCTGAGGTCAAGTTCCGCAACTTTCGACTTTCAGAGCAGCTCAGTCAGCGAACACCCGCGCAACTGGAGTCTCTCCTACTCTGGTTTCAGGATCTCCTGGCTCAGGGTGCACTGGTGACACCCAAGGTGCAAACTATCCAAGTTCCGATCTCAGACGAGGGAAGAAACGACTTTGAGCAGAGCATTAATGCTGCCGTCTCTTCTGGCTTCGGAGCGGGAGTAGGGGATGCAAAGCGCGTACTGGGGTTTACCCATACTTTGGCGAGACACTGAGATTTGATGTGTAAATTAAGGTAGTGAATTTTAAACAAATCTACCCAGGTACCCGTGCATTCAGCTCGGGACATGTGTGTACATGTTGGATGATTCCACCGGTTTAGAAGAGTGTGCAAGTCTTTAGAGCCTGAAGTACTCTTACGTGACAAAACTTAAACAGAATCTGTCCAACACGCTGATCAAGAGCAAAAGCAACCTTGGGAGGTCCACTAGAAATTTTCATTGAGATTCATTTTACTAAGTATCATGATGCATCTCTATTGCAGGCCCTCATCTTTACCCACAGTTTCAGTCTACATACTGCTTCTCCTTCTCAATGGTCTTGGCGTTGTATTTGCGCAATTGATCCTCCAACCCTGGGATCGGTTCATCAAAGTCAATGCGAGCACTGTTCATGAACCTGGCCAAGAAACTATAGATGCCCTGCACGTAGAAGATCTCCGTAATCTCCTCATCACTGAAAGTCTTCTTGGCTTCGACAATGGTATTCTCTTCAACTTTATTCTCGCGCCCGAGAGTAGTAACAATGCGACCCAGAAGGCGTTGACGCGCGGTAAAGAGACCCTCCGGCAAAGGCTCGTGGGCCTTGCGCAGAGCAGCGAACTGTTCTCCGGTGAAGCCGAAAATACGAGCAACGGGCTCGTTCACATCCCACTCGTAAGGAGCATTCAAGGTGGCTGCAGTGCGTAGAACGATGAGCTGCCAATCAGTGGAACGAATCTGTCGCTGCTCACTCCAAGCTGAGGACAAGAGGTTCATGAACGGTTTAAAGAACACATTGCTGTTGGCAAGAAGCTGTATTTACTGTCGTCAACATCGAGGCATTCCAAAGGTTCTACTACACTATTGAGATATTTGTGGGGTCTCAATCGCACCTTGAAAACATTTCTCTCAAACGGAAGAGTTTGAAGAGCAGCCTTGATATCGCGCTGGGCTGTGCTCGAGTCCACGTAAGGCAGCAAGTGCTCGTTCGTGACAGTACGGTCATCCCAAGAAGCCATATTCGCAGATGAAATGCTGAAATCTTGTGAATATTTGGAAGGATAGAAGACTAAGTTGATGAGTTGATTGTTGTAGAATGTAGAACGTGGTGACGAACAAACTTTTAACTACCCGGTCTTTAAACGCCGTTGAGAGCGTTGTCTTCCGTCATTATCATCAACACCATCTCATTCTCTCCCCATCTTGCATCATCCCACCAATGACGCCATGTGTTGAGCAGATGATGACCTGCTTGATATTCCCTCCTTGAACATGGTCATCTGTTAGAGTTTGAGTTGAAGCGATTCGATAATATGCGGCTCAAGCCTCCGGTTCATCTGATGTGGAGAACGAACAAGGAGGATTGCTACGGAGAACACAGTCAAACGAACACTGTGTGCGCGGGGGTTACATTTTGCTCTCGTTGAAGACTCCATCTGAATCGATTCAGGAACCGCAACCCTGTCAGCGAGACCATGTTTTTCCTGCCTCTTCAACCCATTCGGAATTATCGTAATACGGCGGCCCCTGTCACGTAACATCATTCCTCTTGTCACTAACGACGTCTCCCCGATCTACAAGCTATAGAGCAGACTCTCATGCACAGCATGGGTTGGAATCTTCAAGGGCCACGAGCGTCACGCCTGCCGCGCTTCCGTCCGGCACGTCGAATAGCATGCCAGTTTAGATGCTAGGATAGTTGGATGTAAAATGAGATCTCTTGAACAGGATACTATGGGACGGGACATGACTCATATGATCAATCTGAGTATCATCCACGCTTGCTCTTCCTCATGTTGATGTCTTCTTTCATAGCCTGAGGGGGACGGCTGAAACCAGCGGGTCTCGGTGTTCCCGCCATTCTGTTCGTCACTAATTGATGATTCTCACTTCCGATTGTCGTTAGAAGATTCCTTGTAATTGAATCTGGATGGAAGAAGGCATTTCCAGGCGCGATGGAGTCCAGAACGTCTCTCCTCGACGTTCCAATGAGCCATTTTCCAACCACCTCCACACCGAACGTGACTCTTGATGTAGCAACGAATGTGCTGTCACGGCAGACAAGTTTGATCCCTCGCTGGAAATTTTCATTCTCTGCGCCGAGTACCTAAGGACACGGAATTTGAATCGGCCTTATCGAGAGAAATCAGCTGAAACTCCGCAAAGACTGACTCGAGGTGGAATCTTAAGTTGTCTAGACGCCTGAGGGTCACCTTGCGCGTCTTAAAAAGTCTGGTTAATCTATCACGCGATGATGGTCACTCGCATCAAGAGTGGCACATCTACAAAGTTGCACGACCCTGGTCAGAAGTAGCACGGAGTTTCAGACGGGTCAATAGTTCCGATATTTCGACTCGTAAACGCATCCATGTCGGCGTATGGCCCGATTCGAGACAAGGTCGTAAAGTTGGCGTCGACGTTGAGGACGCAGGTCGAAGGGAGCACGCCATATCTTTACCATAAGGAGCTCAAAATGCGACTCGTGATCTTTTCCTTCCAGCTTCTGGATCTTTGAGGCAACTTTTGTCTCTATATTCGCAATCGTCTAGAAAAGTGACGAGATGCGTTCTCCAGGCGGAAGTCGGACGATGTGGCGATGCTGGGGCTAGCCTGGGTGAAACTTGCTGCAGGCTGTGACACACAAAGCCCAAAATCGCTTCCGCGCGGGTACCTATGGGTTGATAGTGATGTAGAGAACCTGAGCCGTATGCTTGTGGAACTCCCATGCTATCACTGAGGAGAAATCCCACCGGAGGCAAGATTCACGGATGGGCAACGGGCGGTTGGTTGGAACGCTCCGGGGCTTGGTATAACAACGCAAATGCGTTGAATTGACTTGTTTTTATTTATAAGCTGGATGCTTTGCTCGTAATGATGAAAGACAGTATTCTGCAGAAATACAATCAATCTTTTGCGTCTGAACTGCAGCATTCCCAATCTCATTATCTGCATTTTCCACCCTCTTAGACCTTTCGTTACCTCAAGTCTTTGACTGCTACAATGCAGTTAATCCGGCATATCGAAAAACATGAGGATTTCTTCCTCCCTAGCGCCGATGACCTTGCTTTCGGCATCCACGACAAGCTCTACGGTAAGGAAAGCTCTTTAGCCTTTTCAGAGGTTGAAGTCAGGTTTCCTGCAACGGAGATTCAACAGGGAATTCTCGCTGAAGATGTCCAATGGGCGGAAGTTGAACTTTTTGCTGGGAAGCCATCTTCCTTTGGTCTCGAGAACATCTTCAATGCTTGGAACTCTCTAGCCTCACACCGTAAGTCTCATATCTCTTGACATCCTTTCGACTACTAGCTCACTCTAAACTCTCCTTTTCATCAGATATCTGCCTGAGATCCTACATCACGAATGATGCCGACTCAGGCCAACCGCAGGTCGTAGTTCTCCGCAGGGTCGAGGGCATCCGATGGGACCATCCTGACAGGAACCCGGATGAAGACAATCAGACTCCAGCTTATGTGACTGTTAAGAGCACTCGCCGGCGGGATGCCATCAGCCTGGTACTTCACTTTCATCGTGCTCTGATCGATACAACGTCTTTGCACATGATCAAGCTCGACTACGCTCTTCAAGTCCATGGGCTACCCAGCCTCGAGACTGCAGGATTTGCCACATATATACGATATCTCCACCATCAAAGACAGAATATTGGAGCTTCCAGGGCTTTTTGGACTGAAGCCCTGTCCGGCCTCATCCCCCGATCCGTATTCAGTGCTCACGCTGATGAATACACTCAAACTACCGCCAGAGGTAGACATGGTGTCAGCGCTGTTATCAATGGGCCAGACTTAGCGCAACTCAATGATCTTGAAGCTCACCACGGCCTGGGCTCTTGGCGTCAGACATTCTTTGAGGTCGTTTGGGCACATGTGATCAGCACTCATACCGGCTCTGACGATGTCACTTTCGGTACGGTTCGCCGGGACGATAGCTTCATCGGCTCAAACAACTGCGTTGGTTGTGTTGATCAAACATATCCTGTCCGCTTCCATGGCGAGAGCGATGGGGGCTTGGCTATCAGTGAAGCCTGCAAGACTCTCGACGGCTATCACAAACAAGCTGGTCGCCATGCCTTTGTAGGACTCGAAGAGATCCAGCGTCACGCCCCAAGCCTCGGTTTAGTCGAAACCGCCGTCAGTTATAGTCAAACGACGAACACGCCGTGCATTGCTCCCGGCCTTCGTAAATTCCCCGTCGTTCTATGTATCAGCGACAGCGAGGTATTGAGACTCACTCTTAAGTGCAAGTCCTACATCCCTCTTGAAGAGATTGAGGTTGTCCTGCAGCACTTCGTCGCTGGCATCGTCAGTGCCGCGTCCAAGTTGAAGAAGTCAGGCGAATGCAAGCTGTTAGCCTCTGATCTTGGATCTGAAGATGAGCAACGGTTCATCATGTCGCAGTCCCTGTCAACACGCACTGCAGAGCCTACGACTATACCTCATTTGTTTGAAAAGACCGCCGCTGCCTTCCCTGAGGGAATCGCAGTTGAGTCGGAAAGCAGGGCACCTGTCACATTTCTCGAGCTCAATAGCCAAGCCAATTTGCTCGCGAGAAGACTCAAGCTGGAAAAGGGGTCCTTCGTACCCATTCTTGCCGAGAGGTCTGTGGAGCTTGTCATCGCAGTCCTGGCCGTGCTCAAATCTGGGGCGGCCTACACCATTCTCGATCCCAACATTCCCTCCAGCCGCCTCGAACACATCGTAGAGGATCTCAGACCTGCCACTGTCTTAGCTGGCCATAAATTTGTCAATTTGCTCTCCAACACCTTAGACATTGAGCACACACTCTCTTCTCCAGGAGACAATCTAGCAGCTTCTTCATCTGATGAGCTGGGTAATCTCAACATCGACATCCACCCGGAAGACCGTTGCTATGTGATTTACACCTCTGGAAGCACAGGCAAGCCCAAGGGTGCCGTTCTCACACATAGTGCGGCTACGAGCGGCATGGCCTATCAGTCTCTGAACGGTCTTGAACGGTGGCTTCTATTCTACAACCCCAGC